ACATTTGTGTAGTACAATGTTGAATGCGTCCATTCCGGGTGCTATAGTAAATAAGGGTGTGTGAACAACCGCCATTGCAAAGGAGGACTAGGCAAGTTTATGAAAAGTACTGGTAATAGTGTGTCAATTAGATTATTTATATCAGAAGCTAAAAGGGATTTGTTTCATAATTGTAAATGCATATATAATCATAGCCTTACGTTTGCACCCCAAATGTTTAGAGTGTCAGACTGTTAATGTATATGTGAATAACTACTAGGAGCAGTTTTGGAAAGGCAAAAGACTCCTGCTTATATGTACATAATTGCTCATAAATGTTTTGGACACGTGAGATTAGTGTACTTTGCCTTTCTACGTATGATTTTTTTTATGTAGCCTATGCCGCACATGTAACTGATGGATTTATGATGGCGCCACCTGTCTATTCATCCAAGAGTTTCCTTCACAACTGCAAATCCACATTACAATGTTACATTTACATCCTAATGTTAGTTTAAATGTGCTAATACCTTTTCATTTGTGAAGTTGATGTAACTGGCAGAGATATTAATATGGTATGAATATGCCGGATGTCAATTTTTGCTACGAAGGATCTCCCTGCCAAATACATCATTCATATATATTATTATTATAGTGTCACATGTCAATTTTTGCTTCAAAGGGGATGCCACATGTCAAAATTTTCTTCACAGATTTCTCCCAAGGTTTCCTTTCCACATCTCCAAATGAAATAGACTACCTCAATAATTTTTTCCAATTCAACTTGAAAATCGTTACTTATTTTAACTGGCTATAGAACTCACCATGCAATGTCAAAAAATTTAAGTTGAGTTTAAAAAATGAATACAAGCCTTTGACGATGCTAACCCTCACAAAATAAGAAGTGTATCTCAAATTCACATTTTTAAATATAATAGAGTGATGGGTACGATAATAAAGTCATAAAAGTAGTTCATTCATTCTGATTCATTTATAAAATGACCATTTTTCACACCAAGTCAAAAATAAAATATCTTACAAAATTGATCGGAAAAATTGATATATTTCATTTGCGCGTAAAATTAACACCAGCATGCATACAAAAATGGATCGGAAAAGGTGATAATTTCACGTCCACTCTTTTTTTTCGATTTATACCGTACATACAAGCAAATAAAATTCTTGTGCGATGCACGGATACACATACTAGTTACTAATAAATGAATCGCTTTTAATAAAATCATGTTCATTCATTATCCATGCAATACCGGGTCAAATGACTAGTAGGAAGTACGGGTGTTCCCAGTTCGAAATCGAACCGCCGGTTTGTGATTCCAAAATTTAGCGAATCGCACTGTACCGGTTCTAAAACAGGCATTTCGTTCCAATCCGGTTCGATTCCGGATCAATTTTCCGGTTCCAAAATTTTAAGATATTAAGGTTTAGTATTTTTAAATAATTAAATAAAAGAGTTCCCAAAAAATATTACAAGAACAAATATATCTCATTGTTTTTTACTAGAAAGCGCTTATATTAAAACTCAAAAATCAAATAACCAAGCACCCATTATTCTGACTACCCAAGCATTTCCTTATGACTTCTTATATTCAATAGGCTCTCCCACCCTCCGATCAAGCATAGAACAGATTGTCCAATAATGAGCATGAGTAATCGCTTAACATGCGAGAGATTCAAATTTATTACCAAGCAAACAAGCTGATTGCTTCCTCCCGAACAAAATACTATAACCACAAAACAGAAATTATAGTGTTTGACCTCATCCAAGAAATAAAGGCAACCAATAGCACATCACTTTTTTAGGCAAACCACCGAAATCATTGGGGCAAATGCCGGGGAACATTTGCCGAGTTTATCAAAATAGAAGAGAGATACAAGAGAAGAGGGGGACCAAACCAAAACCTCTTCAGAAAGGGCATACCCTTTCCAAATACAAAGAGAAGCAATCGCAAAAAAGTAAACGAGATAATTGGGGGGACCAAACCTTACCCAATTAAATACAATAAAAAAGTATGAATTAGTGAGAGAGACGAAGTGAAGGAATCCCAAATAGATCCATATAGTATGCATTTCTCACTTGGCCCGGTAAATCACTAATCCTCCTGAAAATAATATGTTAGGCCAGCATTTGGGCTGCCAAAAAATGGGCAGTCCAATTCGTTTCACGCACCACATGCGAATAGGAAACCCCCTTGTTCGATGACATTAGTAACATTTCGTGACCCGCATCCTTCCATCTCCTCCATCCAAGATGTACCTCAACGCCTCCCTTGAACCAACCAATAGCACATCACTTTCCACATCCAAGACCAACTGATCCAGATCTGAGCTAGATCATCAAACTCATCTTGTGTGGTAATCATCTCGATCGTTGTTGCTTGGGAATACCTATGCTCTTCCATCACAACCCGCTACTCTGACGCCTACTAGTATTGACTTACACCTTCCGAACCAAATATGCCACAAGCGTCGGAGATCACCTTCCCCTTCTTCTTGTTGTTGTCAACGGCTAGAAGACTTGGTCGAAACCATGCGCTACTGCTTTGTTCGCCAAAAGACTGCACACAAAACCTTGCAGATAAAAAAAATTGCCGCCTCTAAACCTAGGCAGAAGCGCCTACCCATCCGCTAAGTTGTCAATATCCCACTGGGTTTTTTTGAATTAAATTATGTCAACTCTCATAGTTAAAACTAAATACTATAATAAGGTAGTTAATAGCTAAGTAGTTATAAGAGGGTTTTTCTAAAATATTACTAATAAACAAAGTCGAGAAAATTTTGACATAGTAACTATTAGTGACTATAATTGCAGTCGCTATAATTATAGTTACTATATTATAGTCACTATTTAAAGTTTTTAGCATACTCACTATATTATAGTAACTTTGAACACAATTATAGTAACTAAAAGTTACGCCATATCTTTGTCACCACTTTTTCAGAAATAGCATTAGTGGATTTTTTTCCAATTATAAATTAGATGGTAAAATCCTACAATCTATTATTTTAAAATAACTTAGTCATTAATTAATTATGAATACTTATTACTAATAATTTATATTAAAAAAAATAACTAGTATAGTAATAACCAATGAGTAGTAACTATTCACTCTTATAATTGTTATTTCTATTATTAACACAAAAATTGTAAATTAGATTGTAAAATCCTATAATATATTATTTTAAAATAATTTAGTTATTAATAAATTATGAATGTTTATCACTAATAATTCATATTAAAAAATTAACTAGTACAGTAATAACTAATGAGTAGTAACTAGTCACTCTTATAATTTATATTTTTATTATTAGCACAAATTATTATACAGAGCAATTATTAGCACTATTAATATTAGTAATGGGGTTTGTCCATAGATAATACTAAAACAAGTGTTATGGACAAATATAGGATCAATTTTAAAAAATTCCAAAAAAGAGACTAAACTACTACAATTGATCATGACCAACCGCACTAGTGATCAAACCGACCGTGACCAAACCGACCGTGACCAAACCGATTGTGATCAATCCGACCGCGACCAATCTGACCGTGACCAAACCGTCCGTGACCAATCCGACCGTGACCAATCCGCCCGTGACCAATCCGACTGTGACCAACCCAATTAATGGCCATGACCACTTCAACACCAACGCTGCCACGGCCGCCCCGACAACCACCATCCCCGACCACCATCTCCGTCCGAAGGGGATCGCCACCGCCACGCGGTGGTGACAGCCACCACGCGGTGGTGACAGCCACCACGCGGTGGTGACAGCCACCAGTCCCACCACCCGGCGGTGATAGCCGCCACCCATCACCAACCAGCCCCTCCCCAGCCCCCACCAGCCCTCAGCGCCCCACCAGCACCCTCCCCCATCCTCCAGCAATGAACAGCCCCCCTCGACCGCCCTCATCAGGACCCCTGCAGCCCTTCAGTACCTTCCCCCATCCCCCTTCAACCCCTACAACCAACAACCCCCATCCAGCACCATACCCAAGCAACCAGTGGCCCCCCAACCCCCTCAAGCACCCTTCCCCATACCTCAACCCCTTCCCGACTAGCCCGCTTTTCAGTCTCCTCCCCAAATTCTCAGCCTCCTCCCTAAATCCTCATATCGTGCACAATAGATTTGTCCCCAGGCCGCCAAAGTCGTAATCAACACTTAGATTTAGTCCATCTCATCGTCGAATGGATGAATCTAGCAGATCCAAGACGAAGCTCACCGCTGTGAACTCCGGCATCTCTGGCCGTCGACGTTGCTGGCGGTCGCGTCGCTGGTGGTTGTCGTCTCCGGCGTCGATGGTGTTGGTCGTCTCTGGTGCCGAAGTCTTCAATCCCCATTGTTGCCAGCTACATCGTCGTTTGTTGCGGAAGGGGAAGTGGTCGCATGTCTCTTGCTTTTGTCCGTCCGAATCTTAAGTCCCCCTTTTGTCCAATTAAAAATTGGTCCTACTTTTGGAAAGTGAAAAGTTCAAGATATCATTTCAGTCTTTATTTCTTAATATTATTAATATTAAATAATTAGTTAAAAAAGAGGTAATCAAATCACCGGTTCCGATTGCAATTTTTGAGAAAAATGAAGCAAATCAGTAAATATCCAATTTCAAACCATAAAAACTACGTGGTTCTTGTTACGGCTCTCAATCCTATTAAAAAACGGCAGTATTAATAAACTGAAAATCTTGGGCAAAATCTAATTGGAACCAATAATACTCCCTCGGTCCCTATATTATCTTCAAATCTTCATTTTTCATCCATGCCAAAAATAGTTTCTTTTTATTTTTAGCAAAGAATTTGTGGTTCACTGGTTCACAATAATCCACTATCTTAATTTGTGTAACATTGTATTTGGGTAGATAATATTGGACAAGAGGGAGTAATTAGTAAGAGTGTTAAAAAAATTCTAACTTAGAAGTCATCATTGCAAAAAAAAAAAAACTTGTAAGTCATCATTTACTTGTCAAAGCTACACTCACTGATTTTTTCTGGACATGTTTCCAGGGAATCCATTTCTCCACCCCACTACCACTGAAGAAGAAAAGCTAAAGAGGGATGTCTAGGGCGGTGTCTATCTAATCACCTCTTGTGTCCACAATTCCTTCGCATCCCTAGGTGTTCAACGACGTCTGAATCATCGGCAAGCTTTGGGCTTCATCAATGAAATTAGAATCATCCGTCGCCGCCGACAGCTCCACTACCATCTCCGCGCCGTCGCAATCACTGCAATCTCCTCCGTTGAAAGTCGCGATTTTGGCTGACCTCAATGTTGAACCTCCCGAGGCCGACAACCATGATTGCCTTCCTACCGCCCTCTCTACACTACCGCCCGACACAACACCGAGGTCCCCTTTGTTCTCATTTACTACATCATAAATTGGGCGCACTGTAATTCGGAAGCAACGCGGAAATAGAACATCAATAAACCGAAATACAATGAAGAGTAATAATTAAATATCAGAGGAGATGACTGCACTTTTATCCTTCTGCAGGTTACTCCAATTATAACTTTCTGGCCAATATTTTTGTAGGATAGTCACTGATGATAGGAGTCAGCATAAGACGAGCAATTATGTTGAAGTAATGGATGTAGAAGGTAAGCAAAAAAAGTCTGGGAAATGTCGGTCAAGAAATGGTAAGGCGGACAGCCCTCTTGATTGTAATGGAGCGGAGATAGATGCTGAGCAGAACAGTCAAGGAACTTCATCACGTGAAGAAAAAGTTAGCAGCCTTAAAAATGTGTGACTTGTTCTGATCCTTGAATCTTCTTTTACTTCCATATACTACGTATTTGCTTAGCTTATACAGGTATACTATGTGTTTTTGTTTTTATCTTTTCATGGTGCAGTGAAATTAAGTGTATGGACGTATGGTAAGTGTATCTGAAAATTTTGTAATCTAGATTGACTGTCATTTTTTTGTCTTCCAACATTTGTTCCAGTTTTCTTTATCTTTAATTTAAGTTAATACTCATTTATACATCTGAACTTGAAATAAAACATAACTGTAACATAGCAGGCACTAGGAAGTAGTAATTGTAAGTCGTCTTTGATAATTTATAACACAGGAAAGATGTTCTAACATTTAACATTTTGAATGTAATTCAGAGTAAGTGCCAATTGTTGATTTCTTCCCTTTCTGGTTAAGTTGAACCACCTTGTTATATTCTCTAGCACTAAACTTTTATCCCAACTTCGGAACTTTAAACCTGGTTTACTCATCAAGTACTACAGTGTTAAGGGAAGAGTGGAAGACTTTAACTGCAGTGAGTTATGTGCATCTGGCAGTTGTAGTGTATACATTAAATACTGAGGGCAGGTTTTCATAGATTTTTGTAAATCATAGACTATGCACACTATATATTTGTATGGTGTACACTTATACTACTTCTATAATGTGTTTTGGCTCTGCGCTAGGGAGTGGAACTATGAAAATCCCCTACTTACTAAAATTCCCCTACCTCGCCTTCACATGCGCCCAAATTTTGCATTTGATTGATATTTGACCAAGAATGGACAATTGTTGGAAGTTCCTGATTATAGTTACCTTTAGAATGGGAGCTAGGATTTCAGCTTGCATCCTTTTACATTTTGTCGTGATTTTTAATGAGTGTTCCTTCTTAGGTGGTGTTTTTAGGCATAACCATGTTTTATAATTTTAGGGATTGATACATGTTGTGCGGAAAATGCCTAAGAATGCTCATGCTCATTTTATACTTGGCTTAATGTATCAAAGGATGGGTCAGCCTCAAAAGGTATCTTGGGTCCTGCTATAATTTTAATTTAGTTAGCTCCATATTTCTTGAAGCACTTAAGCTCTTCTTATAGGCATGTTTAGAATATGAGAAAGCAGCAGATATTTTAGTTCGACCTGAAGAAGTAGTAGACAGACCGGAGTTACTTTGTTTGATCCATACACATCATGCAGAGGTACCAATACTGACATGCTGTTTTTATTGCTTTCAGCTAGCATTTTGTAATATTTAGTATTAAATTATCTGGCAATTGCCGTGCGTTTTCACAATCAGTTTGATCAAACCCATGCAGTGTATCTTGCTAGGAACATTAGATGATTGCAGTTCAGGCAAGGAATTAGATCCTGTAGAACTGGAGGAGATTCTTTGTAAACTGAAAGTCTCAATGCAAGCTGATGTTAGACAGGCGTCAATTTGGAACATTCTTGGCTTAAAACTTTTACGAACTGGTCGTTTGCAGGTTATTTTTATTTCTTAATAATTTATAATAAGAAATGGATATATCTATATTCTGTTAGTTTTATTTCTTCTATATCCTGGTAGGAGGATTCTAAATAATCTTTTACATTTATGGTCTGATATTACTTACACTTTCCCATTTATAGAGTGCTATAGCGGTTCTCTCCAATTTATTAGCAATGGCGCCTAACAACTTGGATTGCCTTGGAAATCTTGGACTCACTTATCTTCAAAGGTTAGGCATACACTACTTTTTCAGTTAGGGCAGGGGCAGGGATGGAGAAGTAAAAAATACCATATTGTTCGCATATTAAAGTCGTGTTTGTGTAAACTATAAAAAGTGGTAACTATATATTTTCACTAATGGCATAATTGATGATGCTATGAATGGACTTGAGATCATTTAGTTGCAATAATATGATGGAGTGAAAATTTCTTTTACTAGAGCATGGACTCATAGAGTAGTGAGTAGTGACGTGATAGAGCGATCACTAAAATGGTGTGAAGAAAAAATTGTCTATTAACCAAATCTACACGACTGTGGGAATATGAGATTGGAAAAGAGCAGTTAGTGAATTGGTGCCACTAAATTTTGAAAAGGGACAAACAGACCTAAAACTATATTGCCGGCATTACACTTGCAGCGACTCTTGGATTGCATTGCAGTTCCTATAGCAGGTTCAATGAAATGATTAAAATCTGTTATGCAATAGCATTATAGCGGTGTTATTTCCACAATTTGACGGCACTGGTGTTCAAGTTTATGGTCTGTATCAAGCTTGGAAGATGTGATGCCTCTGCTCGAGAGAGTAGTTAAACACTCACGTTTCACCATTAGGTCTAGGCCTGATACATATTAATATGAACATTACCTCTTACTTCCAGAAGGGGATAAGTATAAAGTTTATCATCATCATCTATACTAATATAAAAAGGGAAACCAAGGCAATAACCATTCCCACCATAAGGTTGCAACCGTTCATTAATTAACGGTTCTGCCGAAATGATGCAACACATACTTTCTAAATCGGTCATTTAAGTAAATGTTGGGAATTAACCGGTGCTTCGTGATTTATATATAGGCTTGGTAAATGTTGGGAATTATTAGTCTATCACGTACTTTCAAAATCGGTTGGGAATTACGGTTTTACACTTTTATTCCTTTAAAACAATTATTTGTTCAGGCCATGCATGATTGTTTTGGATACTTTTACAATCACGTTGGCACTTGTATGATTTCATCCGTTTATCAATGAGTGAATAATTCTACCATATGTGGGTGGGGGTTTGAAAGATTTGATTGTCCATGAGAAGTAATAGAAGTACCATGCAAAAAAAGATATCAAAGGTAGTTTGAGATAGATGTATGTATCTTCATAAATTTACAGAATTACAGGTACACACTTAATTTTCATGGGGTGTTGAAGATGAACGGTAGAGCTCGCTTCCACGAAGATATGTATTAGTTCTACCGAAGAGTGGAATTAACGTTCATGACTCTACCGTTTATTAACGCCTCTTCACAGATATTTTCGAACATGGCTACATTTTTTTTTTAAAATGTGCAACTAAAGTTACTGTAGCAAGTACTCCGTATTACAGTATCACGGAGTATATATTAAAATTAGTTCTTTATGTATTACAGTATTACAACTCATTGATACAGATACTAAAGTTGCTTTTGTATAGATTTTGTGGATGCTTTTGTGTAAATTCGACCCTTACAATAATTATAACCTGCAGGGGCGTACCTAGGAGTGCCAACTTAGGCTCTCACTAAATTTTAATTTTGTTTAAATTATTAGTGTAAAAGGGTATGTGTAAAAAGATTTAAAAAAAACTCTTTTGTCGATCCAAGTCAATATATTCCCTATGTTCCTATTCAAAAGTCTCTCTTTCACATTACACACAATATAATAAAATGGTAATGTTTGACACTGTTTGTTAAATGTCCCACACCGGAAACATTTGGATGAACAAAGTGCTATATTAACACACGGGCTACTCCTCCTATCAGGTTGACCTTTTAGGATGGAACCCCGAGTCTTAACATGGTATCAGAGCCAAATCGATCCATGGTGTGGGGCCCCTTATGAATCGTGATGACACGATTATTAAAAAAATGACAATTACGGCCGGATGAAAAAAACGGACCGATGAAAAAAAATGAATGATTGCACGATCCAGACGAAGTGTCTGATCGTGAGGAGGGGTGTTAAATGTCCCACACCGGAAACATTTGGATGAACAAAGTGCTATATTAACACACGGGCTACTCCTCCTATCAGGTTGACCTTTTAGGATGGAACCCCGAGTCTTAACACTGTTTGATACGTAGTACTTTTTAACATTGTTTTACACTGATTTGCACCGTTTTGTTTACTAAATAAGAAAAGAAGACTTTTATAAGGACGGACCGAAAAGGAAAGTGGAATGTTTATTTAGAAACTGGGATAGTATTGCTTTGGTTACACCACTGATTATAACTATCATGTGCTGGGTTGCAAAAAAAAACTATCATGTGCTGTTTTATCTTTTAATGTAGTCCGTATGATTTTTATACTCCATACGTAATAAGGAGTATTTCTTCACATCAACTCATATGTAAGACACCTGATCATTGGATCTTTTATTCCTAATAGTCATTCAAAATAAGCATATCTTTATAACTACATACTTCCAATGCAAATAATTAGTTAAAACATACAAATCCCTGATTTCACAAAACTTGGTCAATTCATTTTTTATCTGTCCCTAAAAATACATTTTTGAAGTAGTCTTTCGATCTCTTACATGCATAAATCTCATATCACGCAATTTTTTTTATCAATATGCATGTCAACCAAATTTGGTCAAATTTTATGGACTGGGAGGGGTATTATTGTCCCGTGCAACGCACGGGTACGATACTAGTTATATTTAGAAAGGTCTTCTTATTCAACTGTTGGTCTTGAAATAAGGTGGCAACCATTCATAGGCGCAGTGTACAACTGTGTAAGTTTTCTCATTTTATTTAATTTGCTCAAATTCATAAGTATCTTCTTGCACTAATTTTTGTAAAGGCCTTCTAGCCATATGCTATTACTTTTTCATTTTTCAGTGGGGATTTAGATCTTTCAGAGAAATGCTTCCAAGATTTAGTAATGAAAGATCCAAACCATCCTGGTGCTTTGGTCAACTTTGCTGCCCTTATGCTGTGTAAATATGGTTCAGTTGTTGCAGGTATGATTACTATTGTCTTGTAGTTTTAACTTTATATGGTTAGGTATTTAGAAGACATGTTGCAGGTGCTGGAGCAAATGCCAATAGTGTGGCTCTCTCTGATCAAATTGCAGCAGTCAACGTTGCCAAGGAGTGTTTGCTAGCAGCTATCGATGCAGATCCCAAAGCAGCTCATATATGGACAAATCTTGCTAATGCATTTTATTTGACCAGTGATCACAGAAGTTCAGACAGATGTTTGGAGAAGGTGTAGCACCACTAATTCCTTAATTATTAATTTTTGTGCAGAAAATATCCTTTTATTGTACCCTTCCTTAAATTTATTGTATTTGTACTCCATATTTAAAAAATTAAATAGTTTTTTAATTAACCATTTGATCTCGCTGTTTTTTTTGTTCCCCAATCCTTATTTTTCCTGACCCGTGTTCCTCTTGGAAAGACTCAGACTGTTTTGCTATGATGGTCTTCAGGCAGGAATACTGGAACCTAATTGTTTAGCCACACGATTCGCCATTGGAGTTCACAGAATCAGGGATGCTGAGAGGTCTCAGAATCCTAATGAGCAATTATCTTGGGCTGGAAATGAAATGGCTTCAATAATTAGAGAAGGCGATTCTAGCTTGACAGAGTCTCCAGTTGCATGGGCTGGTCTTGCAATGGTTCATAAAGCTCAACATGAAATTGCTGCTGGATTTGAAATGGATCATAATGAATTGTCAGAAGTGAAAGAACGCGCCATTTATAGTTTAAAGCAGGTAAACTCGCAGTTTTATTTTGGTCTTTCTGCTTTGTTTGGTTAACAAAAGAAATAGAGTAGAGAGAGAAAGAGAGGAAAGAGTGTAGAGCTACGAGTAGAAAGGAAAATGCGATAAAGGGTGAATATCATGTATTATATGGTAGGAGGAAATAAGAAATGAAAATAAGAAAAAGGATTGTGTGATGTTTTTAAACGAAAGAGGTAAAGGATATACATGGGATGCAAAAACTATGTTTTGTTCACAGTCATCGTATTTTCTTCTCATTTGTGCACACAACAAAGATTGTATTTCTTCCCATTTTTATGTCCTCAACAGTGCCCTGTTTTCTCCCTACCAAACACACTTGGGTGTTCAGCATAAGGAACATTCCTTGTTAGTGTTGAGAATGTTGAGGACAGCTGTGCACATTCTAGATACGGAAATGCAGTTGTGGAGCTTTTAAATATACATCTATAGATACGGTGTCATGCATTACTATACATCTAAATATAATGCTATTGTATCATTTTGATTTATCAACAATTTAGTTCGTATTCCTTATTCTTAAATATTATTGTTACTAGTATAATAAAAGATAATAACAATAATAATGATGACAATAATAATAATCTTTATCCTTGCTTCCATGCATTCTCTCCATTTATTGCTGGTTTGAAGGGGTAGTGGGTAATCAGCTGTTTTTTATATTGTATCTTTTATTTCATGTGAAAAGGCTGTTGCAGAAGATCCTGAAGATGCCATTCATTGGCACCAACTTGGCCTTCATTTTCTCTGTACCCAGCAGTTTAAAATGTCACAGAAGTACCTCAAGACTGCAGCTGCATGCCTTAGGAGCTGCTATGCCTGGTCAAATCTTGGTAACCATCTCTCTTTTCAAAGTATATTTAAACAAAGAAAAAATACAATGAACAAGAGCCGGCTGGGTTGGCTGGCTACAGAAGGTTTTACAGGCTGTTAACTTCAGGCCCAAGTCTTAATTCATTATTTCAGGGGCCAAAGGTCCCGAACACTCGTGTCATAAAACTGTGAACAATGATGTGCTGGCCTTGTATGTGAAAGGAGCCATGGAGGACGAAATGTTTTTGGTTTGCTCACTTTGCTGTTTCCTATATATTACATACACAAGTGGGCATCACAATATTGACACTATATATAATAATAAATGCTAGGTATCTCATTGCAACTATCAGCTGAGCCTTCATGTGCTGAAGATGTATATAAACAAGCTTTGTTAGTGGCTACCCCTCAACAAGCTCATACAATATTTTCCAACCTGGGTAATCTCTATCGTCAGCTAAGAGATTTTGAGTCTGCCAAGGCAATGATAACAAAGTCTCTTGAACTGCAACCCGGTTATGCACCTGCATATAACAACTTAGGTCTTGTTTTTGTTGCTGAGGGCAAGTGGGATGATGCAAAGTTCTGCTTCGACCAGGCAATCCTGCATGATCCACTACTGGATTCAGCTAAGTCCAACATGATTAAAGCCATGAACATGCAGAGGATGTACACCAGCATGTCCTCGTATCTATGATTTGTAAATTGTGTTAGACTTGAAAAATAATATTTGCCGTATTTGCCGTGTTGTACGTAAAATAGGAGTCAGGTGAAGTACATTGGTTTCTTGCACATATAGATCGGTTCCTGTAATCTTGTACCGGAACTGGGGAGTAAAGTGCATGATCTGGAACCATTACTTAGAATTCGTTCAAGCTGAATAGAATCCAGGTTTTCATGTGTTCATAGCCGGGAGTCCGGGACTGGTCAGCAGCTGGCCTGGGTTCCCATCTAGGGATGGACCGTGATGGGACCGAGCCGGGACTGGGCGGGCTTCGGGCTTAAAGATTTCAGGACTGGTACCGGCCCAGGTTTGTAATGGGACCGGGTCGGGACGGGCTCAAACAGTACCGGGTCGGGTTGGGCATTGGGACGGGGCTGGGCATTCAATTAAAAAATCAGTGCAGTCAGGCCCGGACCGAGCCCAAAAAATCAAGCCCGAAGCCTTCCCTTACAGTCACCGGGCTGGGCCTAAGGCCGGTCCTAAACAATATCGGGTCGGGCTGAGCCATCCCAGTCCATCCCTATTCCCATCCCATTTGGATATTTTTTAGGCTTTCAAGGGCTAATTATGTAAGTGTAACATGATTGATACATCATGTATGGAGTATATTATATTTATCCTCATTTCAGTACATTATTTATTAAAATTGCAAACATTATTTGTCAATAAATATGTGCAAGTCCTATCTTTGATAGTTGATATGCAGAAATTCTAACTCTTATACTACGTATTTATAAACATTTGCTTCCAAAAAAAAAAATTAATAAACATTTAAAAATAAACAGGCTTGAACCGACCTGAGCCAAAACATCGAACCAGTAGAAAAACAGGAGTATAGGACTTGAAACAAGAGTAAAAGCAAGACGTTTTCCTTAAAGTACTCTATTTTCCCTCTAAACAAGATTGAATACGTTTATATTGAGATCATATATTCAATACAATTTCCGAAGACTAATACTTTATTCTTATTTATGAAGGAAATACAGTACTTTTCTCTTTGGGAAACTTCTCCTATTTTCATAAATTTAGTTAAAATAACAAACATGATTTCTCCAACTTGTTTCTACCTTAATAGAGCATCTCTGAGACCGAATATTTGGTTGTAGTGTTGTTAGGGGTGGACTCGGGTCGGGCCGCCCGGCCCGGCCCGGTACTGTTTGGGCCCGGCTCGGCCCGGTACCCGGTCTTGGGGCCGGTTCGGGCCAACCGGAACCGCCCACCTCCCGGTTCGGGCTCGGGCCTTGAAAATGTTGAACCGGCCCGACCGGTTCGGGCCAAATTTGTATTTTTTTTTGTTTTTTCATTTTTTTTTTGTTTCTACCGGGTAGGACCGGGCGTTTTGGGGGGGTTTGGGGGTGGGGGATGAAGGGGGGGGTCGGGCCGGCCCGGAACCGCCGGTCACCCGAGCCGGTTCCGGTTCCCTACTTCCCAAACAAAAGCCCGTCCGGGCTCAGGCCAGAACCGGAACCGGCCCGGGTCCATCCCTAAGTGTTGTATTATGGTAATATGGTTTACCTAATGGGTGAAACTGAAGTGAAGCTAATCTGGTTTGACAGGCAGTCCTCGAAATACTCCCTTAGATATATCAATATTTTTGGTAAAACTGTCGATTAAATTCTTGTACTACTATCAAAAAGTCAAAAAGTCAATTAGATTCTTGTACTACTACTTTTTTGTGACTCAGTCTAAGTCCATTACGTGTTAAAAAACAATCAAATTACTTTATTAACCAATTGACGTGGCAATCCACATTATTAACCGATTGACGTGGCAACTTCTTCCCTCTGCGTTCTTCCCATCTGCGCATCACTTCATTTCTTTCTCTTTTTTTGTTGAAAAATTCTTTTGGTACACCTTGGGTTACACCTTGGTGTACACCCTATATACCCCCCATTTCTTATTTCTCCCCTCCCAACTTTTTTCTCTCCACTCCTCTCCCATTTGAATCATACGGATCCCCCTCCTTCATCTTCTCTTTCTTCCTTTCTCCTTCATCTTCTTCTTATTCTTCTTCTTCTTTCCTTCTCTTTTTTAGGTTTTATTCATCCTAATCATCTTCATTATCTTCATCACCATCTTCTTCTTTTTCTTTCCTTCTCACTTTTTACGTTTTATCCACACCGACACTGGTTTGCTAGTGTCTGTGTGCACAGACGAAAATTGTATATATACAGACACTTTTTTTATACAAGACAACTAACGTCTGTGTACACCGACACTTGTTTTCCAACTAATTTTTTCACATCGACACGTTTTTGTCTACACAGACAACTAACGTCTGTGTACACCGATACTTGTTTTCAAACTAATTTTTTCACACCGACATTTTTTTGTCTACACAGACAACTAACGTCTGTGTACACCGACACTTGTTTTCCAATTAATTTTTCACACTGACACTTTTTAGTTTACACAGACAACTAATGTCTGTGTGCACTGACATTGGTTTCTGTGCAACCAGCCTGACAGATCTAGAAACTAATTTTACTCACGCCGACACTTTCAATGAAAGCTTTCAATGAAAGTGTCTGTATTTGTGTGTTTTTTGTCTTTGAGAAGGGCAAATAAATGGGTATACCCGAGGTTGTACACCAAGAACTATGCTTTTTTGTTTCATTCAATCATTCTTTTTCTATTTCTTTCCAGTAAAGAACATCAAGCTCTGAAACCCACAACTACCTCAACCGGCCAGACGCCACCCACAATTCCCCCAAATGCCGCTCGCGTCGCCGGTCCCCAGAGTGCAGTCGTGCGCGAGTCGTCGCTCACCCATCTTCAATCAGTCACCCAATCGCCCACAGCCCTGCACCCTAACCACCTGTCTCCGCCCATCTCCCGCCGCCCTCAACTTTCCCACACATCGTCTCCCGCCGCTCGTCGCTCACAACAACTATCCCAACGACTGCCGGTCTGTCTCAAATATCTTCCCAAGCCGCCGCCCGCTTCCCGTCGACCACACATTCTTCAACTTCCGATTCCGACGCCCATCCATAGAATGAAAACCGGGAAGGAAGGGGAAAAGATAAAGAAAATGGAAAAGAGAGAATTTGGGGCAAAACGGAAAAACAGGGCGGCGAAGAAAGTGAAAGGGAAAAACATGAAAGGAAAGGGAAGGGTTTGACATTGTTTTGATATAGATAATTTGCCAAATAAGGAAAGTATTGAAGTGTTAACTTAATTTAGGGACTACCCAAAAAGGAGAGTCAGAACTTAATTGCGGCACGGAGGGAGTAGAAAAAGGAAAAAATAAAATTTATTGCCACATAGGTATCCATATCAGCATGAGTCAATTCCCTAAATAGGACTAAAAAGTGGCAAAATTGCACAAATAGGACTACATTTTTTAAATTCCCTTAATAGGACTATTTATGTGTGTTTGGACAAATATACCCTTGTAACTTATGAAATGTTTTAATTAATAATAAAATCATAAAAAAAAAATTATAAAAATCGAAAAAATATCAAAAATCGTAAAAAAATAATAGAAAATTAATAAAAAAAATTTTTTTTTTAAAAAAAAAATATAAAAAAAATATATAAAAAAAATAAAAAATCATAAAATTAAAAAAAAACATTACCACCCCCTGCCACCCCCAGCACCAACAGCTCCCATCACCGGAGAAAAATATGCCAACGTTTTAAATAATGCCATAATGATGGCATATTTAATGAAAATGTTGGCATATTGAAGAGTAATTATGCCATCTTTTTGGCATTTTCAGAAAAATATGGCATTTTTTTACCAAAAATGGAAGAAATTTCACCAATCGGAGGTGGTGGTGCTAGGAGGCGGCGGGAGGCGGTGGGAAAGGTATCCATAATTTTTTTCATTTTTTATGGATTTTTACTATTTTTTATTATTTTTTAAAAAAAAATAAAAAAATAAAAAAATTAAATTTTTTATTTTATAAATGGTTTATAAATTTTTTATAATTTTTTTACGGTTTTTAAATATTTTTTACGTTTTTTATGATTTTATTATGAATTAAAGCATTTCTTTATAAATTAATACTCTTAGGGGTATTTAGGGTAGAAAATCAATGTTTAGTCCTATTTAGGGAATTTTAAAAGTAGTAGTCCTATTTGTGCTTTTTAGGAACTCATTTGTCCTATTTAGGACATGTTGGATTAAGGGCCCAAGCCGAGGTCCGGCCCACTAACCCATTTTGCCAGACGAACGTCCAGTTAGAACACTAGGCCAGCCCACAGGCCCATATTCCTTGAGGATGGACGAACGTCTGGTGTTGGGGGGCTCAGGCCCAGCAGCTCATCCCGACGAACGTCTATGCAGGGACAAGGAGCAGAACCACGGGCCACCAGGGATGGCGACGAACGTCCCCAGAGCAAGCCTGTAGTCATTGGAGGAAACCCAGTCCACATGGTGAGTATCTATCAAGGCCAGGAGACGAACAGCCGGTATTACCTGAGGGTCACTTGGAGCAATCCAACTCACTTCCTGGGTGGACGAACGTCCCCACTGATCCGGCGGGAAACCTAGATTCTGGCGGGAAGTGCATTTAATGCTAAAGATTTGGTAGTTGGGACACCAGCGGTCCACAGGCTGCCACATCACTACAGCCACCTGCCCATTGGCGGGTATAAATAGAAGCATTTATTTCATTGTAAAGGGTTGGCAACTTTCTATTCTTAGCAGATTAACTTCAGCATTCTTACTTGCAGCATTTCTGAGTGCCTCGTAAGACGAACGGCCGACGTGCCTTTTTAGCAAGTAGATTGTATTTAGGGGAGTTATTACGAAGTTAATAATACCTACTTACATTGCCTGCTATTACTTTTGTTTTCTTGGTCCATCTGATAGTTGTTGGGCTAGACATTCTTACACTCACTCCACTCGAAATCTTTGGGCTTACGTGTTGGGCCCAAGGGTTGAAGGAATAAACCTCAACACTGGCGCCGTCTGTGGGAAACTGAGCAAAAAGTTTCCAGAAACTCTCCCAAACAGCTACTAAGTCTACCTACAGCAAACACGATGTCAGGAAGCAACAACCAGCGTGATCTCTCCGAGCGTCTGGAATCAAGCCGCCGGAATCGCGGCCAGAACTCGGAACTATCCGCAACAATATGGACCTCCGGGGGAAACGGGGGTATCACTGACCTCATTCCTCTGGAGGCCAGGCAGGATCCCCGCCTCATGCGGGAACTCGCAGACACTATGCGTCGCTTGGCAGACGAGCGGGAGGCCCGAGACCAGGTGTACTCGGCAAGCACCCAGCGAACGCCCCTCTCTCCCATACGCCGCATGCAGTCGTATGACGATACGACAGGATCCAGCGACCACCGGCCCTCAGTCCACGAGCGGCTAGGTGGGGGTTCAGGCTCCCGTGGAACGGGAGGGCGAACCAGAGTCAGCATCGCTGCATCCAGGGCTCACACACCATCGGTCCCCCGCCAAATCCCGCGGGGAGACGAGACCCCGAGGATCAACACCGTTGGACGACGTTTCCAACGGCGAGGTGCGCAGATCTTTAGGCGGCCGCACGATGCTGTGGCCGCTCAGCAGAATGCCGTCCCCGAAGCCGCGCCCCCTGTGTCCCCCGGAAGGGCCGCACAGGATGCAAGGTTGGAGGCCATGGAAAAGCAGATAGCCGAGATGAATAGGCGGGCGGACGTTGGCTCGGCCACGCCCTCTT